TGAAGTAGTTTTGTACTTTCTGACATTTTTATAATACGGTCAGGGCATTTGCAGAGAGATTTTAACACGACTGTGGCAGCTTATAGCAACAATTTCTCTTCCTTGTAGTACTAATGTGATACGTCTGCACAGAAAACTTCATCTTTGTGTCTTCAGAATGATCTTATGCTACTTTCTGTTGTGCTTCAGTGAAACTAATTTAGTCCTGTTTGAGGTTCGTGGTGTTTTTAGTCTAACTTAAGGTCAGAATGATGGCTCTATAGCAGCTTTAGCTGCTGCCCTCGGTCCTAATAAAACCTGTTATTTCTAAACAGATTGACAAATAAAACCCAAATGTAACAACTCTGTGCCGAAACTGCTTCGTGATGTGATTCAGTGCAACCAATATAGTCCCTGTTGGAGCTCTGTGCTGCTTTAAATCTCATTTAAAATAGAGTTTGTGTAATAAAACAATCTGATTTGCCTTCATATTTGTGTACTTTGTGACGTTTTAAACCTCTCAATGAAACACCAGCTCTATTGTTCTTCTGAGCCCACTGCACACTGTGCTGGTGTAATATTTCTGCACAGAATATTACTTCATGTTTTATGGTATTTAAAATCCAATTTAGGCTCCTAATAGTGTCCTTGTAGTCACTCAGCAGTACTAATACAGTCTAATTTCATATGCTTGTCTCTTACACACTTTCAGTCTCTTTTAACTGACACTGACGTGCGTCCATGACAGTTTTTTTAGTTTATTGTTTTAGTAATAAAATATTCTAGCACATGCTCAGGGTTTCCTGTTGCACAAATGTGACATGTCTGGAGGGTGTGCACCACGTTCAGGTGTTTAGAGTAAACACATCTTAATCTACGTTGTGTTTTAATGCAGCTAACTTCATCTTTTTGGAGCTTTATAATGTTTTTGATCACATTTTAGGGACAAATTGACGCCCCTATAGTCACTGGTGCTGTCAACCATAACGCAATGTAATTTTTCACATTTTTGTCCTTTATGACATTTAAAACCTCTCGATTTAACACCAGAAACTTGTCCATGGCAGCTTGTAGCAATGTTGTGGTACTTTATAGTATTTCCGTGCCCTGTAGTCCCACTGTAATACTCGTGCATAAAGTATTATTACATATTTGCACCTTCTGGTCATCGCTTGATACTTTACATTGTTTTATTCCAGCTAATTTAGTCCCGCTGAAGTTTTCTAGGGTAAAAATGATGTCTGTGTTGTAGTTTAGCTGCTAAGAAGAATGACTTTAACTTAAAAAATCTAATTACCCTGAAAGGCGCCTTCGTATTTTTGCAATTTATGATATTTTAAACCACTTGATTAACACTGGATCACACCCAGGACATTCCTGCAAAGAGTTTTGTGCTTATTTGGGAGCTTATACGACACTTTGGTGTACTTCTGCGCCCTCCTGAACTGGTGTAAAATCTCTGCAGTGAAAATGACTTCATGTTTGTGTCGTCAGAGGGAAATAAACAGATGTTCCCAGAGTTTACGGTCCAATTTAGGGTCATAAAAATAATTATCCCTGCAGTCACTTCGCAGCCGCTGTCAATAGAAATGCAATGTAATTTCGTCCTTGATGACATTGTCAGCTTACTGTTTGACCACTCTGTCATTGCCAGCACATGTTCAGCGCTTCTTGAAGCACAGGTTTACCTGCAGACTGGTCTCACGGTAGTTTGTGCTGTGTTTGGGAGCAGCTGCCTCTGCCTGACAGAGACTTAAAGACGCTTTTCTTTGAGCTGTGTTTCGTGTTTTTACCCCTAAAAGCTGCTGCTGTGACTGCAGCCCCCAGTCAGCTGTCAGTCAGTGTGACAGCGGGACAAACCAAAGTGTGCTCACCTCTCCAGCCGTCCTCCCCAGCGGCATCTTCTGCCAGGGGTCCGCCAGCTGAGCCAGAGGCATCTTCTTCTTCTGCCCCTACTTTTCTTTCTTCTTCTGTTATTCCTCTTTTCTGCTGCTCGTACCTCCCTCGCTCCGGACGCTTTCTCGCCTGTTTCTCCTCGCTCTTATTCTTTAAAGAAAATGTTTGAAGGTAGTAGTCCACTTTCAGCGTCGGCAGGAACCGAACCGACCGACCAACCGACCGAACGGAGCCGAGCGAACAAGGGCTAATTCCGGATCTGCCGCGGCGCTGAGACCGCCCCTTCCTCCGGAGAGACGAAGAGGAGGATCAGGGGGAGGAGGAGGACGCCCTTTTTCGGAAACTGATTGACTTATCTCCGTTTCTCTCTCTCTCTACCTCCACCTCTCCCTCTCTCACTTCCGTTCTTTCCCAATATGGCGGCCGGTGTCGGCTTACCTGTCCGTCAGAGCGCTGCGTCACAACTACGTCACGACGACAGGCGGCATTCTCACTTAGGTAATAAAAGAGTGAACGAGCACGTATCTGAAGTTATGAATAAACACTCCGCGATTCATCGCTCAGGCGGTGTTGTTTTCTTAATGATTATTTTTACCGATAAAGCCTAACAGTGTGGCGCCAAAGTGCCTCACACAATCACAGAAAGTACGTAAAACGACCTTAAACGACCCGTAAATTAAACCACGTGAACCCAAAACACGAAGCAGTAGCATAAAATACACAATATTACCCCCAAAATATGCAAAATTACTTTAAATTGTCGAACAAGGAGCTACATGACCACAAAACATAAAAAGTAGCACAAAATACAAAAAGTATCCCAAAGATATTCGAAATGACCACAAACTGTCCAAAATAAGCCACGTAACCCCATAAAAACCCATCAAAGTACACAAAATACAAATAAAAAACCTGCAAAATGATGACAATCCAACAATAACATGGCAAATTGCACCAAAAGATGTAAAAATAACCACAAAGCAGCCAAATGTAAACAAAATAACCACAAAACTACTCTAAATGACAACAAATGTCAAATATGCAAAATCAGTAAACACGTACAAAGTGATACACCAGCAGCCGCAAAATGACTACAAAATGTCCAAAACAGTCACAAATGACCCAGACATGAATCAAATTACCATAAAAATATACAACATCTGCACAAAACCACCCTCAGAAATACTGAGACCACAAAAACCTGCTAAATGTCCACAAACAGCCCTATAGTTATTCCAACTATACTGTAGTGAACCACAAAATAAATAAACCACTAAAAAATAGCTCCAGGACAACATAAGTGTGTGAAAACCTATGAAATGCCAAGTTACCAGAAAAAAATACAAATGAACACTGACCAAAACGATGCAGTGACCATAAACCACTCAAAATATACATAGAATATATTCTCACAAAAACGAGAAACACGAGCACAGAAAGGAAAATGACTTCTGAAGTACACAAAACGAGATCAAAAACTACACGATAACCAAAAACAAACACAAAGAACGTCATGAACGTAACTCCTGGATTCACCGCATCGTTCCCTTAAAGCTGTGCGTCGCTACAAAATCCAGTTTTGAATACTTTTGTCATTTATCCCGTTTTCTTCTGTGACAACTTTTCAGTGGTTTAAATTTACAGCATTTCATGTTTGTCGGAGTCGAGCAAAAAAGGTCCAGACATGCTCATTTTTATATTATGAAGCTGACAATAAACCAGCATAAAGCCGGGGGACAATTTTACTCTAATTAAAATGAAAAAAATAAATAAATGTTTAGTTTTGAGCAGTTTTTCCAGCCTGATAGTGACATCTAGTGGTTGAGGATGGAACTGAACACAGCTCATGGATTTCCTTTAGTTTGATCAACTATTGAGTCATATTTGAAGCATTACTTTGTGACCACATTTGACAGCTGAGCAAATAAAATATGATTCAAACACAAACACGTTCCCACTTTGCTTTAAAGTTGTTTTATTTCACAACCTTCAGTTTCTACCATTCAGACAGGTAAATAAAGCTTTATATCTGTACAGGCTCAGATACAGTAAACTTTAAAGAACACAGAGGAAAGATCTCATAACAGACTCCTTTAAATTCATAAAGTGCCCAGAAAGTCTCAAATGTAGTGCATCCAGCTGCCAGCTTCAGTTTCCCCACACAAGTCCAGATGTTTGTCTCGTCAGTAGTCGAGTCAAGCAGCTCGATTATTATTATTTTTATTTATTCATCTTTTAAAAGGGGCAGAAAAGGTCATTTTACTGTTTGGTTGGAAAAAACAAAACCCCAAAAACAAAAACCCATTCCTAAAAGATCCTGCAGACCTCAGTGTGCAGATAGTGAGAGGCTCTAAAGCATTTAGAGACTAAAGTCTTGCTTTCATCCTCAGCTTATAAACACATTTTTAGAGCCATTTTATGGTTACATACACTGATATTGTGTCCTTATCCTGGACACTGAACCTGGTTCAGATGAGGACTGCTCTGGAATGAAGCTTCGGCTGCGACTCCTCATTAAAAACACATTTACCACCAGAACGATCCATCACATTTGCATTTCCCAAGTTTAAAGTCACACTTCTGAGGGAATATCTACACAAGCTTGGAACATTTAAAAATCTCCTAAGGGTTTAAAATGCAGGATAAACATGGAGAAGGTTTCTAACGGACACGTTTCCATGTCAGATGTTGGGATTTGTGCGTTTACAGTGCAGCATGTTTGTCCTGTCCAACACCTCTGGCTCCAACACAAATAATATCTCAGTCATACAGTAAACTATAAATAAATAACACTGACAGGTTTCAAGGAAAAACCTCAAAGTCCTAAAGGAAGGTGCTGAATGTGTGAGGGACAGAGGTTGAGTGTGTGGTCTGAGTCTAGCTGACAGACTTGAGCTTGGACCAGGGGTTTGTCCCGCGCACCTCCAGCAGCGGGTTGTTGGAGAAGATGTGGTTGCATAACTCTTCCAGCGGCGGCTCCGGGTCCGAGGTGGCGAACTGAGTCGCCTCCTCCACCTGCTTACGGATCTCGATGTCGATTTCCTGACGGGAGAGAAATCAGGTGCTGTAATCCCTGCAGCTGCCAACATTTAAACCGGTTTGAAGCTGTGGATGTATCACTGCCGTCTGGACGTTCTCACCTTGAACTCCTCTACGGACGCCATGTTGTGGCTGAGCATGCGCTCCTTCAGCATGGAGATGGGGTCGCTCTTACTGCGGACCTCCTGAATCTCCTCGCGGGTACGGTAGCTGCAGGAGGTCAAACCAAATTACTCAGAAAAATCACAACTCCCCCAGGGTCCGGTAAACCCAGACTTAGAAAGGTAACTCACCTGACACCTGGGTCACTCATGCTGTGTCCATGGTAACGGTAGGTCTGCAGCTCCATTATGATGGGACCCTGAAACACAAAGTGCTGCTTCACATCGATGCGCTGAAACATT